ACCCTGGGCGCCTGCAGCGCCCGCCCTCTGGCCTGGCGACCCAGCCAGCTGAAGGTCAGACGCGCCGGCAGCGCGGGCGAGTCGCGGCGCGGCGCGGCGCCTCCACCCGCGGGCTGAGAGCCGCCAGGAACGCCGACACCGCGACGCAGCCGCACGCGCGACCTCCCGAAGGCGGGGAACTCGGGCGCGACCACCACCCCGCCAACTGACGCGGGCCACCGCGAACCTTCGAGCACGCGAGGCTCCGCGCCCCAGTCGGCCCCGACGATGAAGGGCTCGGCGAGCTCCCAACGCTGCGAGTCACCGAGCAGGTCGGCGCTGCTGCCGCAGACCCCGAGGGGGCGCTCAAGAAAGGCGCTGACGAAGGCGACCTCTGGGTCTCGATGGTCGTTCTCCTGGGCGCGATCCTCGCGAAGTGCTGGCCCCACTCCTGGGCGACCACGCGGGCCCCCTAGCGCTCGGCCGCGAGGATGGCCACCCCCGAAGACACAGCCTGCAGGCCTTGCCTGTACCGCGGCAGGGGCCAAAGGCCGCTCGCACGCCGTTGCGACCCCCCCATCCTCTCACAGAGCCCTCGGCCTGCTGCGGCGCGAAACGGGTCTCCTGCAGCAGGAAGACATCGCCGCGGGCACCAGCGCCCAGGAGGCTCTCGACGGCGGTCGCCGTCGCGGCCCACGCCGATGAGAGTCGCGAGCGTCGCGCACGTGGCGGGGGGGGCCTCCGAGAGCTTGAGCACCTGCTGCATGTCTGCCCGGCGCTGGCTCGGACAAGCGCCGCGCCCCCGCGGAATGGGCGCGGGGCCCGTGCGCCGTGGAGATCGCTAACCCCGCGCCCGCCGCGCTACCCAGATCTGGTTTCACCTTCGCCCCGGGCCACCTCACGATGTGGCGACCAAGGGTTTTAGCTCCTGGCGACCAGCACCTCCCTGACCCACTCCTCGCCCGCGGCCGCTCCTGTAACGACGGCGCCACTGCCGCTGCCGCCACAACCAGGGGCCTTCCGAGAGTCGCCCCTGCGCCCGCTGCAACTTCCACTGGGGGACCTCCGACCAGGGACGTCGACCGCGTCGGGTAGGGCGATGGTCCAGGTCCTGCATCCAGGTGGCCCAAGACGACTTGTCGGCCGCGGCCCCCCATCCCCTTGCCCAGCAGGCGCCCGACCGGATACGAGATGCTTCTTTTATCCAATAGACAGCGCGCATGGCCTGGCGCCAAGAACCCAGGACTCACGTTCTGACTGTGATATGTTTCAAGCTGCTGTCGAGCTCCGGCGGGCAAGAGAAACTCGCCGTCGCGGCCGACGCCGTCGAGGGCGAGGAAGTGCACCGCGATGCCCCCGACGCCGCGGCAGGACCTGCAGCCGCCGCGCGCGCACGATACCTGCGCGATGCGGAGCGCTGCGCCGCCCCTCCAGCGACCCCCCTGAGCCCGAGTCGTCAAGCGCGAGTTGTCGCACCGAGTCTCCAGCTCAGCGCGGGCCCAGGAGCCCCCACTATATCAGGGACGGAGAGCGCGGCCCCCGTCGCCAAAGCAATCGACGCAGTCAACCACCCTGGACATACGTAGCCAACTGCCGCGGACAACGCCCACGTCGCTCAAACTGCCAGCCGAGCGCCGAGCCCGCCCCCCCCCCCCCCCTTGGGCGGCGAAGACGCGTAGCTGGTCCGATCTCCCACGATGACCGGGGCCGCTGGGGCCTGCGCCGCGGCCCCAGGCGGCGCGTCAGATCCTGATGGCCCTGGGCAAGGCTGGCTTTGACACCCATGGTTGTCACCAGCAATGCCAATAGAGCCAACGCCAGCCTTGTCGCCGCCCCCCTTTCCGAGGGTTCGGGGGTTCGCGGCGCGCTGGCGCTTGACGGCGAGGCGCTCGCGCGGGGTCTCCAACTCGGTCTTCTTGCTGTGGAAGACTGCGGCTCCCGAGCCGAAGACTTCTTCGACTTTGGCTTTGGGTTATTCCATGAAGCGGGCCTCGAGGTCGCTCCACTGTTGCACATCGCTGTCGCCAAGCTCGAGGTCGGTGGCGTCAAAGGCCTCGCCTTCATGAAAGACCATGTCCTCTTCTCAGATGCCCCCTGCCGCCGATGACGCCTCGGCCGTGGTGACCTCAACCGCATCTTAGCCCCTCCTTGCGCTGATGGCTGCGAGCGTGGCCTGGACCTCCTCGCGAGCCGCTGCGAGGCCCTGGGCATCTGGCCTCGTCCTTCGAGGCGGCAGCCTCGTGCATAGCCGCGACGGTCTTGCGCTCGGCCGCGAGCAGTCGCTGGCCCTTGGCATCAAGGGTCTCAGCGTGGGCGGGCTTTGCGGGCATGGTCTTCTCCTTGAACTGGGCGAGCGCCTCCCGACTGTCATGGTCGAGGCTCTTCCTTGTCCAAGATGGCGAACATGGCTCCCAGGTCGGCTGGCGTTTGGTCCGACGGGTCGGACCAGGGGCGGCGACGGCGGTTCCTTGACTTGGGCCACCAGCCCCAGCTCTGCCAACCGTCCGCCGCAGGTCTCGGTGTCCATGCTCCTGTGGGGGACCTCCACGGCGGCGTGGGCTGCCACTCGAGGGGCTTCGCGCACTTGAAGCACTTCTCGTGGCCATTCCAGTTCCATGTGCATGCACATTGCGCGCACCTGGTGGAGGCGTCATCCTGCTTGGGCATGTCACTCGACAGCCCCCCGCGGAGAGGCACGCACAGGGCGGACTGCGCGGCAAAGAGAGAAGCACGCAGGGCGGACTGCACGCAAGACGCAAGAGCTGGAGGAGACTGGCCGCGGACGAGCGGTATCCACTTGTTTCCGCTGGGAGACCAAGATTCAGCTAAAATGGCTACGGACGTCGAAGGCATTGGACAAGGAGCCGTAGGGTGAGGAATCCAGGGTCTGGAAGCCGCTGGAGCACCACAAGAGGCTTGGCCATGGATACCACCGCCACCCTCATCAGACAAGGAACAGCCCAGGGTCTGAAGCCTCCTGGGCACATCCCTAAACGAAACCCCCCATCGTAGCAGAGGGGGGCAATAGCCCTTCTTGCGCCACTCCACCCGGGCACGGTGCACAACGTTTCGGTTCCAACTATGCTCTGTACCGTTCCTGGGCCGAGCATCGGGGACGCCTCGGGAGACGCCAACGCGGTACGGTGCACACGTGTCGTCCGCGGGGGGGTGGTGCATCGGCTGCGTGCGGCTGGTGTTCCTGGCGCCTCCCTGCGCTGGAGGCGGCCACGCGTCTGGGAAGGAGCTCGGCCGCACAGCTGAGGCCGGCTGCACGCGGCAGATTTCGCCTCCCCCCCTCCCCCAATCCCTCCCCCACCTTTCTCGAAGATTTCTTTCAGCAATGAATAGATGAGTTCCACTCTCCAGTCTGCGAATCGATACGTCGCCAGGCAAACCAGACCCGACTTTCTCGAAGATGAAGGATCCAGAATCGAGGCTTTTGCGTTGTTGGTCCTTTCTGGAAAGCCTGGGGCGCCCGAAACCCTGACCTGAGCAAATCACAGAAGAAATCCAGGGGCTGATGTCGAATGGAGTTTCCGGGGCCGAGACACGTCTACATCCACAACTTATAGAGTCCTGTCTTGGGCCCCTAAATTCGGACGATGCCCCACCGAACACCCGCACCGACCACTGGCCCAGGAGGGGCATGGCCAGCATCGGTGTGTGTGCGTTGTGTGTGCAGTGTGTGTGTGTGTTGTGGTGTGTGTTGTGCGTTGTGTGTTGTGTGTTGTGCGTTGTGTGTTGTCAGTTGTGTGTTGCGTGTTGTGTGTTGTGTGTGTGTGTGTTGTGAACTGTGTGCTGTGTGCTGTGTCTTGTGTCTTGTGTCTTGTGTGTTGTGCGTTGTGTGCTGTCAGTTGTGTGTTGCGTGTTGTGTGTTCTGTGTCGTTTGTTGTGCGTTGTGCGTTGTGCGTTGTGTGCTGTATGTTGTGTCTTGTGTGTTGTGCTGTGTGTTGTATATTGCGCGTTATGTGTTGTGCGCTGTGTGCTGTGCGTGTGCGCGTGCGCGTATGCGTGTGCTGTGTGCGTGTGCGCGTATGCGTGTGCGTGTGCGTGTGCTGTGTGCGTGTGCGTGTGCTTGTGCTGTGTGCGTGTGCTGTGTGCGTGTGCTGTGTGCGTGTGCGTGTGCGTGTGCGTGTGCGTGTGCGAGTGTGCGTGGGTGGGTGGGTAGGTCGGTGTGTGGGTGTGTGGGTGGGTGGGTGGATGAGGGTGTGGGTGTGGGTGTGGGCGTGTGTGTGTGGCATGGGGTGTGGGTGTGGGCGTGTGTGCGTGTGCTTGTGCGTGTGCGTGTGTGTGTGTGCGTGCGTGCGTGCGTGCATCTATGTGTGCGCGTGCGTGTGCGTATGCGTGTGCGTGTGCGTGTGCGTGTGCGTGTGCGTGTGCGTGTGTGTGTGTGTGTGCGTGTGCGTGCGTGCGTGTGTGTGTGTGTGTGGGTGCGTGTGCGTATGTGTGTGCGTGCGTGCGACCGTGCGTGCGTGCGTGCCATGCGTGCGTGCGTTCGTGCCGTGCGTGCGTGCGTGCGTGCGTGTGTGCGTGTGTGCGCGTGTGCGTGTGTGTTGTGTTGTGTTGTGTTGTGTTGTGTTGTGTTGTGTTGTGTTGTGTTGTGTTGTGTTGTGTTGTGTTGTGTTGTGTTGAGCTGTGTTATGTTGTGTTGTGTTGTGCTGTGCTGTGTTGTGTTTTGTGTGCGTGTGTGCGTGCGTGCGTGCGTGTGTGTGTGCGGATAGCCATCGCTATCCGACCGCGTTATCGGTGGACGACTCGAATCAGAGTGTGTGTGCGCGTCGGATCGGACTGCATGTGCTCGGAGCCGAAATCGAATCGGACTGGCTGCGCCAAGATGCACAACAGCGCCACGCCAAGCATCGGATCGTCGGAATACCAGAGACCCCTCGAGACTTTTGGAGGCTTTAGGGGGGGTGCGTAGACGGCCTTTAAGGAGCCAGGGCTTCTCCTGAGAGATCCCCCCGCCGTCCAAGAAGGCCGCACCCCGCAGCGCCTCAGCCCCCTCCTTGCTCGCCGCTGGCCTGGGACGGGGACTCGCGAAGCACGAGGTGGAGAACGCCGCCGTGCTCGAAGCGGGCCAGCTCGTCTACGAGAGAGAACAGGCCCTCCGAAAGCTGCCACTGGAAGAGGCGCGAGCACCCGCCGCCGGGCCCGCCCCCAGGGCCGCCCCGGGCGATCGCCACGGCGCAGCCGTTGCAGACCGACTCCACGCTGATGTCCTCGTGCTGCACGCCAGGGCACCGGATCGTCAGGACGCGGCGCCGCGTCCCGTCCGGCTCCGCCTCTGGGGAAGCTACGCTACGCCCCGGACCTCTCACGGGGTGCGTTCTGACCAGGATTCTGAGGCGACTCCAGCTGTGGCGACGAGGGCCTCCCAGGAGGCCCAAAGGGCGAAAACGAGGCAAGGGTAGCGGTCGGAAGGGGGGGGTACTGCAGCACCGCTGATGCACCTTGGCTTTGCTCAGGTCCTCCTCCAGCTTCTCCAGCTCCAGCTCCTCCTCCTCCATCCTTTTCGATTCTCCTCCTCCTTCTCCATCCTCCTCCATCCTTCTCCATCCTCCTCCTCCTCAATCCTCTTCCGTCCTCCTCATCCTCCTCCTTCATCTTCCTCTATCCTCCATCCTCCATCATCTATCCTCCTCCTCCTCCTCCTCCTCCTCCTCCTCCTCCTCCTCCTCCTCCTCCTCCTCCTCCTCCTCCTTCCCCATCCCCATCCCCATCCCCTCCCCATCACCATCCCATCTCATCATCATCATCATCATCATCATCATCATCATCATCATCATCATCATCAGCAGCAGCAGCAGCATCATCATCATCATCAGCAGCAGCATCATCATCAGCATCAACAGCATCACCATCACCAGCAGCATCATCAGCGTCATCATGATCATACCTCATCACCACCACCATCACCACCATCACCATCACCACCATCATCGCATCACCATCATCAGCATCATCATCACCATCATCATCAGCATCATCATGATCGTCATCATCATCGTCAGCAGCAGCATCATCATCACCTCCCTCCTTTTCCCTCGTCGTCCTCCTCTTCATCCACGTCCTCCTCCTCCTCCTCCTCCTCCTCCTCCTCCTGCTCCTCCTCCTCCCTCGTCGTCTTCCTCCTCCTCCTCCTCCTCCTCTCCTCCTCCTCCTCCTCCTCCTCCTCCGCGTCCCTCCTCCTCCTCCTCCTCCTCCTCCGCCCTCCTCCCCTCCTCCTCCTCCTCCTCCTCCTCCTACTTCTCCTGCTCCTCTCGTCTCCTCTCCTCGTCCCTCCTCCTCCTCGGCCTCTCCTTCTCCTCCTCCTCCTCTCCTCTCCCCCCTCCCCCTCCTCATCCTCCTCCTCCTCCTCCTCCTCCTCCTCCTCCTCCTCCTCCTCCTCCTCCTCCTCCTCCTCCTCCTCCTCCCTCCTCCTCCTCCGCCTCCTCCTCCTCCTTCCTCCTCCTCCTCTCTCTCCCCTCCTCCTCCTCTTCCTCCTCCTCCCCCTCCTCCCTCGTCGTCCTCCTCCTCCTCCTCCGTGTCCTCCTCCTCCTCCTCCTCCTTCTTCTCCGACCTCCACCTCCTCCTCCTCCTTCCCTCCTCCTCCTCCTCTTTCTCCTCCTTCTCCTCCTCCTCCTCCTCCTTCCCCCCTCCTCCTCCTCCTACAACTCCTCCTCATCATACCTCCTCCACCTCTTCCTCCTCCTCCTCCTCCTCCATCCTCTTCCTTCCTCCTGCTTCTCCTCCTCCTCCTCCTCTGCCTTCCGCCTCCTCCTCTTCCTCCTCCTCCTCTTCCTCCTCCTCCTCCTGCATTCCTTCTCCATATAAGTAACATCTCCCTTTCGCACCCCGAAGCCAGTTGTTAGGCCAGGCCAGGCATTTCGCCTGAGACTTCCTCACCATGACCCTGAAGCTTAAACCTTGGCAAGAGCTTCACAGATGGAGGGCCGGTGGTTTTCAAAATGTGGCTCTCGCCTCAGCGCCGCGCACATTCGTCTTACAAGTTTGCAAGAGCTTCATGGATTGAGGGCAAGTGGTTTTCAAAATGTGGTTCTCGCCCTATCGCCGCGAGAACTCGTCTTAAATATACAAGAGCTTCACGGATTGAGGGCGAGTGGTTCTCAAAATGCGGCTATCGCCTTAGCGCCGCGGGCATGGGTCAAGAAAATTGCAAGAGATTCACGGATTGAGGACGGTTCTTTCTCAAATGTGGCTCTCGCCTGTGCGCCACGCACATTCGTCTTACAAACATGTAGAAGTTTCACGGGCTCCCACGATCAACGGACAAGAAATGACATTTTGGAAGGATTCAGGCTTATGGGTGCACAAGTTATGTTGATTCGAGGCGTTCATGTCCCAGGAATGGCGTTCTGGGTCGCTTCAGGATCGCCAAGACGCAACAGTCAGGTTAATCCGTGGCGTCGGACTCCCTAGAACAATGTTTTGGCATGCTTCAGGGTCTTCGAACAATTGTCTTCCAACGAGGCGCTTCCCTGTGAAAAAATGAAACGTTGTAGGGACCTATGAAAAAGGAGCTTGGAGGGAGGGTTTTTTCCAACATCGTTGATGCATCTTGGGTTTACACTGATCCTCTTCCTCCTCCTCCCCCTCCTCCTCCTCCTCCTCCTCCTCCTCCTCCTCCTCCTCCTCCTCCTCCTCCTCCTCCTCCTCCTCCTCCCCCTCCTCATCCCGTGCAGTACGGCTCTGCCTCGTCGCGGACATCGGAAGGGAACGCCCGGTCGAACTCGGCCTGCGCCGCCCGCGCCGCGGCCGCCGGCCGCCCGAGCGCCGCCGCGTGGCCCCAGGCCGCCCCGAGGCCGCGCCACGCCAGGAGCCACAGCCAGGCGCAGCAGAGGCACGCCGACGCCAGGCCGGGGCCCTGGGCGGCCCTGGGGCTCTCGGCGCCCCGCTCCTCGCTGGACAAGGAGACGAGCGCGTTCCACTACTCGCAAATTGCCTGGATCCCCCGCGGGGGATCAAAGAGAAATTACATCGAAAACGGACACACGTTGTTCGGACGGCTGCGAGTTCGCACTTTGTAAGTAGTGGAACGCGCTCGGCGAACAAGGGAAACCCAGAGATTCTGGCGTCCCGATTTTTTCGAGCCGGGCGTTTCGTTCCAGATTCAAGGCCTGGGACACTCCCAGATCGACCTGGCTCGAAAGATGGAAGGAATCTAATGAGGTTCTGGGGCTCTGAGCGTGATGCATTACGGTGTTGCACTTTTGTCCGCTACGTTGGATCTCAAGGAAAACAAAAGCTCGACCAGGCGAGATTCGGCCGGGCTGAACTCGGCCAGCCGAATTCAGCCTGGCCGAGATGTTCCTGGCCCAAATATAATTGCTGCCGTCACGGCGAAGGGAATTGGATGCCCAGACATGTTCCCGTCACGAAGAGGTAGAACGGTGTGGGTTTTTAGCCGGGCCCCAGGGCCGTCAAAAACGGCTCGGGATGAAGAAACTGGTCCTGAGGATTGGATCAGGACCTCTGGATGGGGGTCTGGACACGGCGAGGGCATTTTTGTTATCTCCCTGCGTCCGAAGACTTGCACGCAACAAAAGAATTCGCGCAAGTGGCCCTAGCGCTCTCGGCGTGTCACCACCACCGCGCCTGTCAACGCGCACTTTGGTAGCCCTGGCATATTGGACGGGTCGCCACATCCCTGGCCTGGAAAAAAAACGATTCGGGCCCTACCTCTCCCGTGCTGCTCTGGCTACCCGCTCGGCTCTGGACTGGACCGCATCGCGGCCGCGCTCGAGCGCCTCCTCGGGCGACGCGACGCCACGCGACTCCAACGCCCCATCCACCCCTGGCAAGACGAGGGCCCGCCGCACCGTCGAGCTCGCCGACGGGCGAGGACGGGTTGGGAGAGGCGAGCCAGCTGCATCCTTGGCGCCCGAAGCGGCCGCCAGCCGACTTGACTGGAGGCCCGCCGCGACACCCAAGGCGCTAGCCCACTGCACGCGGGCCTGGACCGAAGGCGGCACCAGCGCACCGAGCTGACTCTCGCGACGTCGCTGCGAACCCGGGCCCTCGAACCCCGAAGCGAACTTCGGCGCCGGAGCAGGGCCTGGCCAGCCCGCGGAAATAAGACCGCGGCAACCAGCGACGCATGCCGCAGCGAGCGCACACCGGCAAAAACTCGGGCACTTGCCCGTGCACATGCGCCCGCATGAGGAGGTGACCTTGGACTGGCCAGGGCCCGTCAAAAACTTCAGCCCCGCTGGGGAGGGGCAACGCCGCGGACGAGCAGGGACGAGCCCCCCGACCAGGCTGCAGCACATGGTCGTCGGGGCTAGGCAGGGTCGCAGCAGTCGCAGGACGCTCGCGGGCAAAACTACGCTCGGGCCCTGCAGAATGGGCCTCGCCACTGCGCCGACCCCCGCGCTCGCGCACGCCGCTGCCCCGGCCGCCACCGCAAAGACGCCCGCGACGGCGGCCGAGGCCCCTGGCCCACCCACAGCCGAGGACTCGCCCAAAACGATGGGGTCTTGCTGCAGGTAGGGCCCCAGGTCGATGTCCCCCAGCGCCCCGCGGGCCCAGGAATCGCGCAGGCCAGAGTTAGCGACGCGCGCCTCCATCTCCGCGGCGACCCTGGCAGCGACCCTGGCTCCAGCGAGGCGACAATCCAGCACGAGCACTCGGTCGCCCGCTGGCGCCCACACCTCGGCCCCCTCCTCGGCCCGAGAGCCCGCCAGCCTGTTGCCGCGCAGCTCCAGCATGCTGAGCTCTCGATCCTCGCCTGGCCGCTGCCTCCGAACGGCGCGCGGGGACGCGCTCGGCGGCTGGGGAGTTCCAATCCCGGCGCCCCTCGTCGATCTATGAAATCCCACCAGCCCTCTGGGCGCAGGTGGTCTAGGGTGGCTCCTCTTCCAACCCCCTTCCTTGCCCCACGGAGGAGGGTTTACCCCCCCCGCCCCCCCACCCCACCCCACGCACCCCGCACCCCGCACCCCGGACCTGGACGGGGCCAGTCGCGAGCGGTCAGGGAATCCGAAACGGCCTCGGCGAGGAAGCCGAAATCATTAGCCCCACGATGGCGCTGGCACAATTTTGGCTTCTCGGGGGAACGACGCTAAAAGGAGCCCCCATCATTCTTTGATCGATCTCCTCCAAGATGGCCCCAGGAAGCGCCCAGCAGGCCCCGAGAGGCCCCAAGATGGCCCCAAGATGGCCCCAAGAAGCCCCGAAGTGGCCCCCAGGGGGGCCCCAGAGGACACAAAGCGGCCCCCAGAGGCCCCCCGAGGCACCCAAGGCGCCCAGGAGGGACCCCTTCAGCAAGCGGCGTCTGCCACTCTGGCCCAGATGCGCGCGGCGACCGCCGAGGGCGGGGCCCCGCCCGGGCCCGACGACGCCCGCGCAGTCGATGAGCAGGGCGCAGTTGCCGATGATCTCCCCGAGGGCCACTACGGCCGCGCAGCCCCCCCCCCGCCCGCGCCGATCTGGGAAGGCGGCAGGTCGGGAGGGGCAGCGCCCTGGTCCTCGGCGCAGAGCTCGCCCGTCGGCGCCGGGACAACCACCGCGCAGCCCGCACACCTCAGATGCGCGAAGTCGGCGCGGACGCACGAGCCGTCAGCAAAGACGAGGGCGCCCTCGGGAACCGCCAGCGCACCCCCCCAGTCTCGGGGGCACTGCCCCTGCGAGGGCTGCAACCTTTCGCGGAAGGGCTGGCCCAGCCTGCTGACCGCCTCGGCAACCCCCCGAAGATCACCTGGCAGCCCGTCGCGCCTCCAGGGCCCCCGCGCACGATAGCGCCCGTGGGAGACCGCACCGCCCTCTTCACCGCGCAGCGGGCACTTCGGGTTGACGTCGGCTATGCGCTTGGCCAGCCTCGCCCGGGGCCAATGGGAGAGCGCGGCCTGCCAGCGGAGGCAGCCGCAGTGGCGCTCCGTCCAGACCTCCGACTTCGGCTGCAGGAAGAGCTCGTTGATCGGCCGCCAGGCCGGCGCGAGACGCCGCGGCTAGAGGGGCCCCAACCGCTCCAGGATCTCCCCCCAGCGGCGCCGCCTTCCCGGCGGCCTCGCGAGCTCTCGGCCAAGAAGGCGGGGGAAAACCTCAAGACCTCGAACTCGCGGCCGATCTCATCCACGAGGCTGTTCCCGTTGGCCGCCGGGCGCCACCAGGGCCTCAAGCAGCTGCCGAGGCGGCCTCATTCCAGCAATCAAACCTCGACTGCGGCACGGGGGGCTGGGCCCGACTGCTCCACAGAGCCTTCCACTCAACCTAGATAAGGTCCAGCGCCTGCTGTCCGACCTGCGGCACTGGCAGCCCTCCTGCGAGCGACTCGCCGAAGGTGGGCGCCTCCTGGCGATGGACCTTCTCCATCACAGCATGGACCCGCGTCCTCCTCTGGCCAGGGCTTCGCCCACGAACTCCTTCCGGCGCTCACTGTCACGCGCTGCGTCCGCCTTGGCGCGGGTTGCCGTCGCAGCCGCCATGGCTTCCTGGAACCACAACCCTTGCCAGAGTCCGCTTGCATCTCTGCGAGCAGGGAGTTCATGCGCGCGCCGCTGAACACGCTGCATCCCTGCGAGGCGAACTGCGGTGCAAGGGAAAGGGCGGCACGCTCCCGGTGCCGAAAGCATGCCCCATGGCCCGCGGGCACGCGACCTGCCGTCGCCGCCGCCGCCAGCGGCTTCGCCAGGCAGCCCAGCGAGATCCATGAGCGGGGGGGGGGGGGGGGGGGGGGGCTGACCCCCCTCGCGGTCTCGGGCCCCGCCTGGCCCCGCTGGGCTCGCCCAACGCACTGCTCAGCATCCTGCTCTTCAATGCCGAACATATGGGTCTGGTCTGGTGCAGCTCAACAACCTCGTAGAACTCTCGCACGGCCTCATCAGGGCGGCCTGCCGCGTCTCGCAGCGGCGCCTGCCACCGTACTCCTTTGGCCGCCTCATCTGCTGCCTGCATGGCCCCCTCGTCAACCTCCGCGGTGGCGTCGAACGTGCTTGGCGACTGCAAGACCCACGCCTTCGCCTGGGAGCCAAGCCAGCCGAACTTCAAGCGCGCGGGCGTCGCCGCGGGCCGCGGCACCTCCACCTGGGGGCTCCGGGCAGCCAGCGACGCGGAGATCCCAAAGTATTCACGCGCGCGTTCACCGCAAGTGGGAAGCAGGGGAGCGACCACCGCGCCCCCGATAGCTCTAGGCCACCAGGAGCTCTCGAGGAGGTGGGGTTCCTTTCTCCAGTCGGCGCCGACAATGAAGGGCCTCGAGAGCTCCCCGGAAACGGCTGCAAGTCCCCCAGCAGGTCGACGCTGCACCCATGCAGACCTGAAGAGCGTTACAAGTAGGCACTGGCCATGACCAAGACCGGGTTGCCGAAAGCCACTCTCCTCGCGACAGGCCTCGTGCAGTGGGGGCCTCACTCCTGGCCCACCACGTTGACGCCCCTGCGCGTCGCCGCGAGGATGGCCGACCCTGGGCTGCCGAGCCTGTCCTGCGGCAGTGGCTGAAGGCCGCGCGCAGACCGTTGCGGGACCCCCACCGTCTCGCCGAGTCCTCGGCCTGTTGAGACGTGAAGCGGGTCTCCCGCAACAGGTAGACGTCGTCAGTGTTCCCCGCGCCCAGCAGGCTCTCGATGGCGATCTGCTCCTCAAACCAAGTCGAGCCGCTCAGCGCCCCGACGCTGGCCGACGACGGCCGCGCCCCCGAAGCCGGAGGCGGGGGGCACTCTGCGAGCGCGAGCACCTGCTTGTCGACCGCCTGATCCTTGCCTGAGATCACGACGCAGCCCCACAAAATGGTCGCGGGGCTGACCGCGGCAGCCTGCCCCGCCCTCACTGCAAAAACTGAGCCAGTGTCCACCTTCCCCCTTGACCACCTCGCGGTGCAGTGGCCGAGAGTTTGAGCTCCTGCTGACGAGCGCCTCCCTGACTGAGACCTCGCCCGGGGCCGCCCCCCTGGCGGCGGCGCTACTGCCGCTTCCGCCACAAGCACAACCAGGCCCCCCCCGTCGCCGCAGCGCGCGCGTCAACCACCACCGGGGGACCTCCAACCAGCGGCATCGACCGCGTCGGGTAGGGCGTCGGTCCAAGGCCGAGGGCCACTTCCAGTTAGCTGCGCTCGACTGGATGGCTACCCCAGAACTGGCCCGTCAGCAGGCCCCACAACACCAGTGCTCTCGACCACAAGCAAATTCTCGACGATGGCCGCGCCCGCGCTGCCAACCCGCGTGAGAGCTCAGGGGCCGGCCTGGACCAAGGGCCCCCCTGCGTCCTTTGAGCGCCCACCGCGACCGCGGTCTGCGGCAGGCTGCTGGGGGCACGGCGAGTCGTTGCTGGCAGGGCCCCGAGCAGGCGGGCCCGGGCGCATGCAGCCCGCTGCAGGCGCCAGGAGCTCCACGCCGCTGTCATCGTCGTCGGGGTCGCCGCCCTGTGCTGGGAAGCTGTCGGCCCAAGCAGCACGGGAGGGCCGCGCGCTGCTCCAGGAGCTCCTTCTTGGCCTGCTCGACCGCTTGCCAGCAGTCCGCTGCGCGCTGGTGGGCCTAGCGCAGCGCCCTCGTCGCCTCGGCCAGGTCGGACTCCGCGCCCTGCAGGGCACCCCCCTTGCCACGGACCCTGCCTTCCGCCTGTGCCCAGCGAGGCACTGCTGGTCCCCGTCGCGCTGCTTGGCGACGTGGTACGCGTCGCGCTGCTCGCCTCACCAGTGGACGGCGCCGCCGAACTGCTGCCCCAGGCCACGCTGCTCCGAGTGGGGCTGCCGGTCGCCAGCGTGCCGCGCATATGCTCGTGATGCGGATCAGCTCGTCATGATGATGTTCGTCGTTGTGCTGCCGATGGCCGTCGTCCTGCCGCAAATCTGCTCCTCGTGGTGCTGCGTATCGTCGTGCTGCCGGCGGCCCAGTCCTCGCGCCCGCGTCCGCTGGGCCAGAACATCGCATGCTCCGCGACTCCGATGCACACGGCGGCACCCTGCCAGTGTGGCGCCAGGCGCTCGCGGAAGGCCTCGGGGATGGGCCGCAGCTCCTCTGGGTCCACGCCCGCGCCCTCTGGGTCCCCGACCTGCTCTTCAGCATACCCGACCTCCACCTCTGGATCCTCGCCCTCGTCCTCCGGATCCTCGTCCCCGTCCTCTGGCTCGTCGTCCTCGTCATCTGAGTCTGCGATGTCCTCGCCCACGTCCCCGAGTTTGCTCCTCCCAGTCCCCTCGCAAGACATTGCAATGATCACGATCGTCGCGCCGTCAGATGTGCCAGTGCTCGTGGCCGCGGTGCGGCACGAGCATGTGGTCGTCGTACATTTGCCCCGGTGTGGGAGCTGGAATCGGGGCCGGCGTTGGAGGCGGGGCCAGGGGCGGGCCCAGCGCAAGCGTCGGAAGGGGAAGCAGAGGTAGAAGCTGAGTCAGCGACGGAACATGAGTCGGAGTTGGAGTGAAGGTACGTGTGGTTGCCAGCGCACAATCCTTTGGCTCTTAGCGAAGCGCCCCTCGCGCTCAAGATGGCCCGACGGACTCGCGGTCGTCGTTTGCGCCATGGCTTTGAGCCAAAATGGCTACGGACTGTGAGGGCCCTCATCAGATAAGGAATCCTCCAGGATCTGAACCCTCCTGGGCACATTCCTTAACGAACGCCCCCACCGTATGTTGCATGCTCGGGGGACCTCGTCTGTCCTGTCGCGCCCCTATCCGCGTCGAATCCGTGTCGAATCCGTGTCGAACTCCTCGAATCCGCGTCGAATCTGCGTCGAAACCACGCCAGATCCGCGTCGAACCCGCATCGAGCCCACGGTCGGGTGCAAGAGAAGACACCAACTTTGGGGGACAGGCGAGATCCCCGAAGATGCAACGTAATCTGGGACGCATTAAAGACATGCTAGTACGATGTGCCTCTGCTGGACGAGCACGTCCCACCCGAGCATACAATACAAAATCGTGCAGCTCAACGCTTCCCGAGCGGTATGGCCAGAAAAGGCCCGCCACCGAGCTTACACTATAAGACTCTCGAGCGTGCGCGACACCCTTGCGCGGCCGACGCGAACATCGTAGAAGTACGCTTGGGCGGTGCCGACCAGAGAAAATCGGTCAAGAAGGGGAGATAAAGGCAAGTCCGCTCCAAAGCAACGCCAAACTCCCCACCCTGGATCTGCTCTCGACGGCCCTGGGGCCCGAAGGCGGCGCCCCCCCAGAGGCCGAGAGAGGCGAAACACACATGCTCGAGCCAAGCACCTCGAAGCTCCCCCCCTCTTGCTTGCGAGAGCCAGTGCTGGGCCACCTCGGACCCCCAGCGCACTCCAAGCCTGGGCGGGGGGACCAGAGTCCCGGACCCCGTCTCGCTGCTGCATCCTTCGAGCCGGATCGCTCTGTGCTGGCCCCGGGCCCCGACATCGGGCGGAAAGCGCCCCATTGTGAAAAAAAATTGCGGCGCCAGGATCTGAGGATGCAGAAAACAGCCGGCATCCTGCCAGCAGGAAGGCCAAATCAGGAGCAGAGGTCCCAGGCCCCGACATCGGGCTCGTTCTGCGCCCTGTCTCGAGCTGGATCGATCTGTGCGGGCCCCGCGGGGCCCGAAACGAAGCGAAATCGCCCGGCTCGAAAAATTGAGATGCCAGGACCTCTGGGCAAGTTCTTACACTTCCACGGTATCAGTCATGCTCGGCGGCGGCGTCGTCATCGTCATCGTCCTCGTCGTCGTCTTCGTCGTCGGCGGCGGCGTCGTCGTCCTCGTCGTCCTCGTCGTCCTCGTCCTCGTCGTCCTCGTCGTCGTCGTCCTCGTCGTCGTCGTCCTCGACGTCGTCGTCGTCGTCGTGGTCGTCGTCCTCGTCGTCCTCGTCGTCGTCCTCGTCGTCGTCGTCGTCGGCGGCGGCGGCGTCGGCGGCGTCCTCGTCGTCGTCGGCCAGGCACGCCCCGCAGAGCTGCGCGCCGCCCGCCGCCGGCCGTGCGCCGGGCCGTGCCCGCGCCGCGAGGCCCTCCAGCAGCCACGCCCGGAAGCGGCGCGCAATGCGGGCCTCGTGCGCCCGAGCCGCCTGCCCCTGGGGCGCACAAGGACATAACTGGTGCTGTGCGTCCTCCTCTTTCTCCTCCTCCTCCTCCTCCTCCTCCTCCTCCTCCTCCTCCTCCTCCTCATCCTC